AAATGAATAACGCTTTATAAGTCAAAAAAATGACGTTTTATATGTCAAATGAATAACGTTTTATATGTCAAAAAAATGACGTTGTATATGTCAACTGAATAACGTTTTATATGTCAAAAACAATACGTTTTATATGTTAATTGAATAGCGTTTTCTATGTCAAAAGAAAATAAGGTTTTATATGTTAAATGAATAACGTTTTAAATGTCAAACAAATGACGTTTTATATGTCGAATGAATAACGTTTTATATGTTAATTGAATAGCGTTTTATATGTCAAAAAAATAACGTTTTATATGTAAAATGAATAACTTTTCATATGTCAAAAAAATGTCGTTTTTTATGTTAAATTAATAGCGTTTTATGTGTCAAATGAATAACGTTTTATATGTCAAAAAATGACGTTTTATATGTTAAAAAATAACCTTTTTTATGTCAAATGAATAACGTTTTATATGTCAAAAAAATGACGTTTTATATGTTAATTGAATAGCGTTTTATATGTCAAAAAAAATAAGGTTTTATATGTTAAATGAATTACGTTTTATATGTCAAATGGATAAGGTTTTATATGTCAAAAAAATGACGTTTTATATGTCAAATGAATAACGCTTTATAAGTCAAAAAAATGACGTTTTATATGTCAAATGAATAACGTTTTATATGTCAAAAAATGACGTTTTATATGTTAAAAAAATAACCTTTTTATGTCAAATGAATAAACTATTTATATGTCAAAAAAATGACGTTTTATATGTCAAATGAATAAGGTTTTATATGTCAAAAAAATGACGTTTTATATGTCAAAAATAGGAATTAAACAAAATGACAATTAATTTTTAATGATATTTATTTATTTGCAGAATGGACAATCATCACAATTCGTGTCGGAGAGGCTGCAGCAGTTTAGTGAACCTTTAAGTAGACTCACCTCATCCAACAGTAAGTATAGAAGAAAATCAAAACAAAGAATCGAAACTAAACGGTTGTAACTGAAAGAACATAAAAAAGAGTAGTTAAAAAATAAGAAACTACTAGTGTAAAGGTGCCGAAACTGAATGGGAGAGTGTCGCACCGGTGGGCCGGATGTTTTGAGTTCTCAAAGTGAAAATGCTATTTTCCTTTTGGATTCCACATTTTTTTCTCTCTCTCTCTTTATCCACTTCCAGAAAAACACTAAAACTAAGGAGAGAAAGGAAACGAACACTCGAACTAATCACTGCAGAGTCATAACAAGAAAGACGAATATCCATGAGAAGAAAGCTTTTCGTGTATTTTTAGTGACATCCTTCCTCATCACATCGCCCTGGAAATAAAACAATATCTAGACGTAGTTCGGATGTTAAATGGGAAAGAATGAGGCGGCGGCAAATTCACTAAGGGCTAACTAATACGAAGCGTCTGCAAAAATACTTTCGCAGATGTCTTTCAGGAGGAAGCGCTGCACCACGACAGATCTCTGTATATAAATTTAACGTAATCCCGTGGATCGTGTCAAATCCACGTTCGACTTTGTGTGGTCTAAATATAAGTTTTCCTCGAGGAAGAAAAAAAGGACAAGAGGAAGGAAAAAATATAATACATATATATATATATGACGGAGACGTGTGAATTTGCCGCTAGTTTCGCATCCAGTTCCGATACTAAATGATTTAGATGCAGAATTAGAATAATGAGCTCCAACGAAAATAAATATCTTAATGCGAGTCGCCTCGAGCCGAAAAACCTCGAAATAATAATCCTCGACACAGATGAAAAACGGTTTATTCGCACAACGCTTTGGAAATTCTCAATTTCTCGTGTTTTCTTTTCTTGTGGGCGTGGATGTTTGTGTTTTGGATTTGCTGCGAAATTTATTGGAAGAAACCGTCTTTACACCCATATTAGCCAGATGCTTCTTCTTGAGGATGTTTGTTCTTAATGCGAGAATCGTGTCTTTCGACCAATTTCGGGCTTCGGTTTCGAAAACAAGAATCGGAAATAGATCTTGTGCGTTTTTGGGTTCAAGTTTGCGCGTTGCGGCTTCCTTCTACTCTTTGGTAACGGATACCTTCTTCAAGTGCGCCTCCTTGGGAATACCAACAAGCTCTTAATTTATTGCTCCCAATTGGCCGTATCGCTTTCATTGGTACGATTATTTCATCATAAATATCATATGAAATATTCAGTCTCTTATTTTTTTTTTATGAGTTGCTGAACTCAAGGAAAACCCTGATCAAGTTACATAACACAAAGCATAAATCTATAGATAATTACAAATTTTCAAAGATGTCAATAATCAATTTTTTTTTTGAAATTTTACACAAACTCAATCAAAATAAAATTTATAAAAAAAATTGTATTTAGTACAAATTTAATCAAAACAAAATCGGTATACAAATTTCTTAATCAATTACGTAACTTTTTTCATATTTACTAGTAAAATTTTACATTTTTCTTTTTTTTTATTTAGTATAAATTGAAAATTTGACTATTAAAAAAAACAATCAAAGTAAAATTCTCATATACTTCTAATAACAGAGTTTAATGATTTTGTGTCAGTAAAAATGTATATAAATTCTTATATATTTTTGCAAAGATTTATTAAAAATAGTTTTATTTAGTGGTTGGAAGTCATTAAGTGCGTGCAGCTTTTAAGTGACTGAGTAATAACGTGGAAGTTCCTTTGATGGTTCAATTTACACGCAGGACCTTAATTTTATCGGTCCTGTCTAATTCCGAGTTGCTTTATTGGTTTTTACAGCGAAGGCGGACGTTAAAAATAGTAGAGAATAACAACAAGAAGAAGTGGAAGAAGTGTAAATCCGTGTGTTAAAAGAGAAAAGGACGTTGGAGGGAAGGATGAGAAGACAGACGGTTTACGCGTTCGCACCCATAAATTAGTATTAATTTAACATAGATTAAGCCTGGTAAAAGCATCCGCCACCTATAAAATCGGTGAATTGAGAGGGTCATAAAATTATTTTTAAAAACGCCACGACGTCTCTGGCATGCAACTTGGGAGAGACTGAGATGGAAGCAGACAGAAACACTACACATTAAGTCCTACGTATAAATCGAGGTTTATTTTCAAACAGAAGATGACTCCGGAGATGCCACTACCATCTCTCTCATCTCATCTCTTTCTCCATTTCCTATAATGTAACATTTTGTAATATCTTTTAAAGTAAATTACACTTGACAACGAACATTGCGTGAAGAGAAAGCTTTATTAATTAAATCTAATTAATAATGCATCTTTTTTTTTTTGAGAGCGTAAATCAAATTTAATAAGTGTTTAATTAGATCGAATTTGATAAATTTAGGTGATGAAAAAAAAAGAAATATAAAAAGCGGTTGGACGTGTTGAAAGATTTCTTAATTTATGTTTGAAGAAGAATGCCGCGATGTCGGCCAAACGCTATTTTCTGTTTCGTGTCAAATGTATATAAAAATAATCCATCTACCAAAAATTCCTAATTTTTATCTAAAATCCACAATTGATCAAAATGACAGAGACATAAACTTAAAACTCAATTTTAGAAAACTTATACTAAGTCATATTCACATTCATTTCAATATATCTGAAGATTCAATAAATTTCTTCATTTAACGGTAATTAAGACAAATGTAAACTAGTAATGTTAACTGACATATTTCATTTTAAGCTTTGGCATTTTTCTAGAAACTTAAATTTGTAATTTATTATACTGAAATCACTGTAGTTTTATAATGATATAATCATGTTTTCTTTGATCTTAGTCAAGTGCTAAAAACTTAAATGATATAATCATGTTTTCTATTATCTTAACCAATTGGATTATCCATATTTTGGTAAAAAGTTTGCATGAAAAGTGCTAGAAGTTTCAATGTATACTTTTTACAGTTTATTCAGAAGAAACAACTATACTTTTGTATTGATATAATCATGTTTCCTTTGATCTTAGTCA